TGGGGATTGTAAGTGCCCAATAGATGAATAAGTCGCATCTCCACCAAGGTTTTTCTTTTTCATAGTTTTGAATACATTACACCAATACTCGGTGGTGTAACTGTGTAAGACGCGGCGCATATAGACTGGACGGTTCGGGATCGTTCGCGAGGCAGTCATATATCAAAGATCTTTTTTCACTAAATTAATCCTATCAAATTAAATTGATTGTTTCTAATACTTTGATTATCATTAGCTAGTAGTAGTTAGAAAAATGTAGAACCCGCTAAATATCGGGGAAACCCGCCCACAATGCCGAAAGTAGCGCTTGGATGTGGGAAACCAAGTTGATTACTGCTCATGCTCAGATGGAGATATCTTCATCAATTATTCATTTTTGATATTTTTTTATTTATTTCATGTTTATTGTAGTTTCTTAGGTTTGGGTTTTAGAAGTCATTTAAAAAACTCGTAGTTCGTGTTTTATCGTGGTTATAAACACTCGGCCTTCGGCCTCGTGTTTTATCTCACGTTCTAAAATATTTAGGATACTACGCGCGCTGTGATTGGTCGAAAACCATGTTTGATTACAGTATCAAAACACGCTCGCGCGCGTCAAAAATTTCTTTTTTCCCGCCATTTGCATTTGTTGTTGTTATCATTCATTTTCAAGAAAAATGAACGAAGAAATGCCTATTTATGATGTCCTCTGGGATGATATCCCAGAAGAAGAGCTATCAAACGTTTTAGAATCTACAGAAGCTGCAGACAACTGCAATGTAAGGAGAATTCATCGTTTCATATCGTATCAAAAGTCAGAATTCTTTACAATTTTCGTATTCTTTTAATTTTAGAAAAGAAATAAAAGACGAAATTCCGTGTTTGATACTCTGATCAAAACACTTGGGATGTAGGGAGAGCACTCGAAAAGCTGGAAACCACTCCGCTACGCGTCGTGGTTTCCTACGCTTCTCTCGTGCTCTCCCTACATCCCGCGTGTTTTGATCAGAGTATCAAACACGGAATTTCGTCTTTTATTCCTTAATTCAAAAGCTGAGAACCTGAGCGCAGGTTTGATTTAAATAAGGGAATTCTTAAAAATTGCCACTGAGAACAACGGAAAAATATTCAAAACCTAGTCCTTGAAAGTTGGATATTTGTGCTTAAAGAGTTTTTGAAAATTTCTGGAATTTTGTATTGGGAATGTAGAACGAACCCTGTTCAACATCCCAGCGGTCTTTATTTCACAATTCATCACATTGTTTCATTAACAGGTCAAGAACGAAGCTACTCAACAGCCACAAAAGATAACAAGATCTTTGCAGTGCCATATCTCTGTTGTTGCTCCAGGAAATGCTATGTAAGTGGACAATAATTCTGTATCAATTATTCACGTTCCCTACTACATATACACAGTCCCATCACTCGGTAACATCCACTGTGTTGCAAGTTGTATAAGGTCGAATTAATGGAAGCTCAATAYAGTTCAGTGCTGGTGTAGAGCTCTCAACAAACCATTGGGAAATCCGTGTCCTTCTAGTGTAACACTCTGGTGCGAATGCAAAGACGGACAGAACATTTCGTTTTACGTCCTTTCAGAGAAGATGTGCCATATAAGGAGAGTTAGTGTCTTGCTCACGGACATGACATAATTTCCCGCGGTCTTGACATTCAGTGACGTCACGTCTCCTTGCTCAACCTCGATACTAGCATCTTGTAGTTTTGTTTTATCTAATTCATGCATTTTTCTTACTCCCAGAAAAACTGACAAATGGCCTGGCAAGCTCATTATGCAGCTTATACCACAACATCTACTGGTAAGTTCTGAAAACAAGTTGTTTTTCTTTTTTGAAAAATCTAAAATGCGAACGCATTGAATGCCGGTTGAATATGTTCCTTTACGAAATGCGGAGAATATTGTTTAGGGTAAAATTAATTCTTAAACCTACATGTAATTCATGTTCTTTTTATTTTCAGTCTACACTTGGGCCTCTTCTTCAGAATTGTAAAACTGTTGCATTCCGCTTCCCCGCTACGGACCCAGATTCGCTTAAAGCACTTTATCGTGTGATGGCGCTGAATGGCGTAAAATTTGTAAGATATATATTGTGTCAACATTCGCTCGGCTTTATTGAACGGCAGTGTCGAAAGCGTTTGCGCGGGACTTTCGACATTGTTGAACCGTGTTAAAGGGACACTGCCAATGGCACGCATTCGCGAGTAAACTTGAAAACACTAGGCTAGTGTTTTCAAGTTTAYGACTCCAAGTTGGCGCTACATAAATCAGCTCGAAACGTAAACAGATCTAGAATATTCCAAAGTGTGTCAAAAGCACCACAAAATGATTTACCTCGAAGGTAATACTTTCAAAGTCCGTTAGAGGTGAGACTGTTACTGCGCATGTCATCCATTGACAGTGTCCCTTTAAATCAATATATTTAAACTTTTTTTCAGCATCCGGTCAACATTTCTTTTCTCTTTGAAAAAGTTAAATGATGCTGCGCCTTGATTTCAACAATAGAGAACTTATTTTAAAACATCAACAATTTTTGAGGCGCCTACGTCAATCGGAAGTGAAATTTTACTTCTGGTTTTCGCCAAAATTTTGGCGCGCATTGAAGTGCGTATGCGCGGACGTAAGATTGTAGTACAAGAGCATGCGCTGTATTCCCTCTAGTTGCTGAAAGCTTCGCCCAAACGCGTTCAACATTTCCGTTCAGCAAAATCGAAAAAAGGTTGAAGCAATAAACCCTTTTAGCGATCTCTTTTTCGCTGTGTTAGCCTCAAAGCCATGTAATGAATCCTTTTATTAACTAACAGTCCGTGCAAATGCAAGAGATCCGTGAGTATAGAAGACAATGAAAATAGTTTGAAATTTCACGAGTTTTATCTAAATTTCTGAATATTTTTGCACACAATTGAGGCTAACACAGCGTAAAGGAGATCGCGAAACTCAACTATTGTTGAAAACGTTTAAACCCACCATTCAACATCGTTCAACACTGTTTACAGCGTTCAACAAAGTTGAAATAATGCGTTTTCTCCCGCTTTTGTCAACACACTCTAGGACATAAAATGCTTCTCTGTGAGTTCTGGATGTTTTATGATGTCAAGGGCGAGAGAAAAATTAATTCAAAACTGTGCATAATTTGTTAGTTTAACAGGGCTTTGATATTATAGATCTTTAAAAGTCTACATCTAAGTTATTTCTTGCTGTACTTAGGCTGGTTGTGTTCACTTTGCCCCAGTCCCTGGCTGCGACATCAAAGTGTTGCTTTTGATTTACAGTCCTAAAAAGAAAGCTTTTGTTGGTTTGATACCGCATGACCAGGTAAATTATGTTATATATTGAGCTCCTTGCGTATTTTATATTGAAACGCACAGTACAATTTATAGACTTTCGGTAAACTGAAAATGGCCTCAAGCCCCAAAGCATAATGGTGCACACTGGGCGTTTAATTTCCTTATTTTAAGCAAGCCCTCCTATATCCCTATATGCAATATTGTCATTGAGCATGTTACCATAGTACACAACCATCCAAAACAAGACCCAACGTTGATGAAAGGGGGCGGGGAGGAGTTGTTAAAAAGTAAAGAAGAAAGATTTTAGYTGGAGACAAATAACAATTGGAGTTTACCTAATAACGCTGCTAAATGGTCCTAAAATCTATTACTTTGTTTATTAGGGCAACTTTGTCAACGGAATAAGGGTGAGTACAGATATCTTTAGTTGTTATTGAACTCAGCAATGATAACGTMTAGGCGTGGGACGCTATCCTCCAACGAGGGCGCATGTCCCTGGCGACCAGACGRCAAACAAAGTCACCTATATCCATGGCAACCATGAGAGTAGTTGCAATCCTTGTACTATTTTATGCCCGATACAAGCCAAAATARAAGTAGTTCTACCGTTTCACATTACCACAATAGACTTCTGAACCTTTTACGTCACTACTTGATTTKCAATGCATTGTKKGATCAGTTTCWAGAGAAAACAAAMKAAATCCGCCATGTTTTGTCCCMAAMATATSCTAYAATGCATTGCGTATACGGTRCATGRCGTAAACGTTTCAGAGGTCTATTGAACTGAGATGTTGAGGTCAAGTAATTAACTTTAATACTATTCTGTTTTGTCAGAGTGTTCTACAAAAGTATAGGCAAGATCAATTTAAGAAGGTAAAACCAAATGTTGTATGTGTTTTCTTTATGCACCAATGTAAGATTGTCCAATTTGCGTAAGAGATCAATAATTTAAACTTCTTGCGTGGCAATAATTTGCGTACTTGGATGTTTCTTGCAGATTCAACAACAGAGACTTTTAGCAGTACAGATACGTCAACAGCAGCAGATGCAACAATCGCAACAACCAGGGTTTCAGAACCAGATTCAGCAGGTTAGAATATAACAGTGTAAGCGACAGGACTAACAACAGCAACAACAACAACAACAACAACAACAACAACAATAACAACAACAACAATAACAACAAAAACAACAACAACAACAATAACAACAACAATAACAACAACAATAACAACAACAACAACAACAA